ACTGGTTGAAACAGTCTTTCCATGGCATTCATGTTTCTTTTCTTCTGATTTCCCCCCCCCCTCCTTTTCCTATGTATCTATCTGAATCCTTGTAATATCTGTGTAGTTTTAATCTGCTGCAAAAAACAGCGAGGATGAAAAGCAAAAGGCAACAAGCCATTTTCAGCCCTGGTGCCCTTCTGCTCCTCTGTCTTTCCCTGTTCCCCCTCTTCTGCTCCAGAGTCAGGCGCATGGCATAGCCCCTTCTGCTGCAACCGCCGCTGAGAAATGTCTACGGGAACTTCTCCTGTCTCTTGTTACCGCTCCTCCCTCCCTTTGAGACAGTGTCCCTATTGGTTCAAATCAGAGCCACTGGCCAGCTCTCAACCTCAGCTCCTTGCCAATCAGTTTGTGCATTTCCCAGGGATCCTGTTTCATAAACTTATCCTCACTTTAGGTCCGTGTGCTTTAAAAAAAGCTGGAGGGACACTTGAGCATCCAGAACTTCAGCCTGCATCCATCATGGAGCAAGTCCGCTTGCTGCTAAGTCTTCTGTTCCTTGGAGATCAGCTGGGACATGGCATGGCTTGTCAGCTGCCATCTGATTGGAGGCCGCTCAGTGAGAATTGCAGAGCAGAACTGGCTGAAATCATTGTCTACGCCAAAGTCTTAGCTCTGCACCAGGATATGTACAGCATGTACAACTATCTGCCGTGGCAATATGAAGCCATGGACGGAGGGCTCTTTTACTCCGCCGAGATTGAGATGCTGTGTGACCAAGCTTGGGGAAGCATGTTAGAAGTTCCAGCGGGATCCCGGTTGAACCTGACGGGGTTGGGCTACTTCTCTTGCCATTCCCACACAGTCATGCAAGATTATTCCTACTTCTTTTTCCTCAGGTGAGTGCATCTGGCAAGCTTGCCCATCTTTCAAAAGCATCCTAGATAATGTTGCCTAGAGTAAAACATTGCACGGATTTCATACCGAGGATGCGTGCAGTTTGTAAATGGCTTCAAATTTCCTTGACCATGTCCCTGTTGCTATAGAAAAACCTCTGTCATGTTTTGCTTAAAGGCTCTTTAGCAAGTTTGTGATGGGGGGAGAGAAACCCACCAAAGTTAAAATGAGAAACTGGGAGTTTTGCACTGTGTGTAGCATTTCAGACTTCAGGGCCCGGATTATGTTTCTGAATGTTCTCCAAAGCAAACAACCCTTTAGATGTTGTAAAGTTGAAAGGACACATCAGGCAGAAAACTATCTTCCTGATGTGTGCAGAGACATATTTATGCAACATAAAGGAAGATTTAAAAAGAGAGCAAGTGCACGCACCTACCAGTAATCTGATGTGAGAGAGATCCTAATTCTATCACCTCAGCCAACTGCCCTACATTGGGTGTGTTGATTTTAATACTATTTAGGGTTAGAGGACTGACGGAGCACGATTCAGGTGATGTTAGTTCAAATTCTCACTTAACTAGAAAATATACCATCTGCCCTTGATGAGTCCTTTGTTAATTATTACATTTCCATCCCAACTTCTATTTCCAAATCCCCAAATAATACAGAAGGGATTCCCCACGGTTTTTATCCTTATGTCTATTCAGGAAGTAGGTTAGGCTGAAAAACTGGGGCTGGACTGAACTGTCCCATTGAACTACATCCTTTTGTCCTTCTCAGCCTAATGTACTTCTCTGACTTTGCATCTGTTTATGATTGTCTAAACTGAAATTTGGAAGATGGAGCCTCCTTACTGTTTCTATCCTATATAAACCAGCATTCTTCCAGTTAGTTTCATAGGCATGTAGGCTACACATTGTGGGCATTGTAATTCCAGTAGATCTGAAGGACAACAGTCAGCTGAGAAAGGCTGCTGTAAATCTTTTCCCCATTTCACTCCCCCAAAGGTTAAGTTTTTTCAGCTGCCCAAAAGACATTATTAGAAAAAAGCTAAGCATTTCACTTCAGTCGGATCTTTTGTGTGACAACCAATGAGGGGCTTTACCATACATGTTTGAACCTGGGAGAGTTTTTCTGCTGGCCACACTTTCCTTGTTATTTGAAAAGAGAGTTTCAGAAGAGAGTCTGGCTGACCTGTCTGAGTTTGAAATCTAAGTAGGGTTAGAACTTGGTTGGGAGACCACCAGGGTATCCCAGGAAAAAAAAAACAGACCCAGAAGAGGGCAGTGGTAAAGGTTTCCATGAAGTCACCAGAAATTGGGCTTGTCTTCACCTTTTTTCAGAACAAGTCTGACCAAAATAGAACCTGTCATGGTATCAATTCCTTTAAAAGATTTTTTTTTAAAAAAACTAAATAATTGTGTTAAAAATTGTATTGAGGTTTATTTATTAAAGCTGTAAGTAATTCTGGAAATTTTAAATTACAGTTTAGAAATGGGTGGTTTCTCTCAAGAACTGGTTTTATTTGCAAGTTTTTATTACAAACTCGAGAAGTTTTTTTAAAGTACCCTGGTTTTAGCATTCTGAATATTTAAAACCAGCTCTGTGTTTTTTTTGCAAGCTGCCTTTTTCACCTGTTTGAGCTATCAGCAAGCCAGTTCAGATGTAGCATTTTAATACGGTGGGATAACTTCTTGAAGCAAATGGGTGGGTGCCAACAATGGACTAATCATGTAATTGTTTCCAACAGGAATTTAGAAACCAACATTTCCCTGAAATAAGCTGTTTCAAAACCAGATTTTAGCTGGCATGGCTGATTGCAAAGAAAAGGGGAATGTTGTCTTTTTGTGTAGAACAGAGAATAGATGCCAAGTGTTTTTTTTAATCTGCTACATTGCATTTGTCCATATTTTCTCTTTTCCTAAACAGTTATATGGGCTATGTCCTGTTCTGCAGCAAAGGATTACTTTAAAAAGGCAGCAAAGAAAAAAAGGAGAGAGATTTACTTATTTATTTTTATTTAATTATATATCAAATTTGTCACCACCCATCTCATTAAAAAGCAACTTGGATGCAGACTAATCTTCTTGGAGGCGGTCTTGTAAATGTTTCTGTAGATATTTTTTGTTTTTATGTTTGCATGAAATCTGATTTAGCCACATTTCATTGGATGATGATAGGAGGTAGCAAACACACTTTTTTAAGAATCAGTGTGATAAAAGACCATATTTGCATGTAAGAAAAGTCAGCAGTTGTCACAGTCTTATTTGTAGGAGAGCTGTGTTAGTTTATATGGGAAAAAAGTCAGGAGGAGTCTGGTAGCACCTTTTCTGACTAACAATTTTTATTAAAAGGCATCTCAGCTTTAGAGTTTTAAATTATATAGTTGGATTACCAGAAACAGGTGTGCTATAGATCCTAGAGCAGTGTTTCTCAACCTCTGGACCTCTGGACCTCTGAAGTCCACACATCTTAAAGTTGCTGAGGTTGAGAAACACTGTCTTAGAGGATGACAGAGTTACAGCAAAGCAACGCAGAGTGATAAGGAGAACTCTTAGTAAGCATGTGGAACCTCTGGAATTTCTGAGATTTTCATCACATGTGCATATGAGAATGGTGGGATAGTGGAAATAAAGAACATAGTGCATTTTTAAAAAATGTATATTGCTTTGCTACATATAATCCAGCTAGCAATGAAATATTTCATAAGTATCCCAGCCAATACACAACATAAATCAAAGTCAAGTGCTGTTGAATCAATGGAATGCTTCCAGAGGAACAAAGGGTTCATGTCTCGCAATTCCCCATCTGCACCCTAAAATAGTCAATTTTAGAGGTTTTGATCTACAGGTCCCATTAGCCCCAGTTAAAATTGCTAATGTTTAGGGATGATGGAAGTTGCAATTCAACAAAAACGTGAAGGACCAAAAATTTGCCAATCCTAATTGATTTTGTGCCACCCAGTTGGTGTTGACTTCTAACAACTACACAGATAGATTTTTCTCCAAGATGATCTATCCTTAACCTGGTCCTTCAGGTCTTCCAACAATGTAGTCTATCCACCCACCTTGCTGCTGGTTGTCCTCTTTATCTCTTTCCTTCCACCTTTCCCAGCATTTTAGACTTCTCAAGAGAGCTAGGTCTTTGCATAAGGTGTCCATATTATGCCATAACTGTGAGTACAGAGTGAATGTTGTCCTCTTGTCCGACTTAAGCAGCTAGTGAGCTACAGCAGGAAACAATGATGGGCAGCACTGTGACTTCCTCTCCTGTCAACACTTAGCCATGAAATCGACAGGCCCTCTTTGGAATGAGGGAAGTGCCTCCAACACAGACAGACCAGATGAAATCATCCGTCATGTGGTTTCCTTGCTTTTGGCTTATCGTGTTGGCTTATCGTGTTGGGCAAACTTCTATGTTCTGGAAGCCATGTTTCCCCAGTTAGAGTGTTGCAATTTCAGTGCATCCTAGTTTATTGAACAAACAAGCGTAAGGAGACCATGTCTTAGAGGGCAATGTGCCAACCCATCCATAAAGTCAATGCAGATTGTAAACATGCAAGGGACACTGCTTGAGGGACATTGACCCTCATCCAGTTAGTTTCAGGGGGCTCAGAGAAAAAGAATGTCTCCGTGAAAGCCTGTTTTTACATAACTGCCCTGCATTATTCATGGAATTTTTACAAGAGAAGATGACATTGGCTACAGAATAGGTTTTCACTGATAAGTTTAGCAGCCCATCACCTGGAAGCATCTTAGTATAATTTCATTGAAAGATTTAAAAAACAAGAGTAAAAATTAATACAAACTAAAATAGAAGTAAGAAGGAAAAACAAAAAAGGAAGAAATAAAAGAGAAAGCCAAAGTGCAAAAAGAAAAAGAAAAAAGAAAAAAAGGTAGAAGAAAAATAGAAAAGAAAGAAAACAGTTATAAAGAAGTGGCTTCTGATCTTCTTTACAGCAGTTATAAGTACAATTGTAGATTTACCTTTTTCTCTAAAGTTACATTGTGACTCTCTTCTTTCTATAATCTATCCTGTCTAATCATCAAAACCATAGAACATAAGTTCATTTTTTTCTGTTTTACACAAAAAGTCCATAAGGGGTTTCCAGTTACTTGGAAGCATCTTAGATAGAAACTAGGAGTAATTTATAGAGTGCAAAGAAGCATGTAGGGATTAGATTATCCTCTCCTCTGTATTATTAGTTTGATGTGATTATTTATAAGTGTACAGAGCATATAAGTAGCCCCCCTTTCTTTGCTACAGGAATTAATTACATCATTCCAGGCCCAAGATCTATTAGAACAACCAAGTCCTTAAAGGCTTTTTCAAAACCAAAAGGGAAAGGGCCATTTGGATGTTGCTTGATTGACTGATTATGTGCCATCAATTTCTTGTTGCCTCTTACCACCATGTAGATTGGTTTTCTCCAATACAATCTATCTCTAACCTGTTCTCTCAAGTCTCCCAACAGTGCACTCATTGCCACTGTAACTGAGTCCCTCCACCTTGCAGCTGGTCGTCCTCTTCATCTCTTTCCTTCCACCTTCCCCAGCATTAGAGCCTTCTCCAGACAGCTGGGTCTTTGCCTAATGTGTCCAAAGTAGGATAATTTGAGTCTGGTCATTTGTGCCTCAAGTGGGTTGGATGTTGGGGGAGGGGTATTATTCCAAAGGAGTAATTATTCCAAAGGGTTACTGTAATTGAAAGGGCACACTTCCACGGTCCTGAGGTGGCAGTCCTTGAATGAGAGAGATAACGTGAGAGTCCAACCTACCCTTGTTATTGGCCAGGCAGATGTTATTGTTCCCACATATATCCTAGCCCTGAACCATGAAGGACTTTAAAAGTGACAATCAGCACCTTGGATTGCACCCAGACACCAATTGGTAATCAGTGCAGCTCTTGAGACAATAATGTTATATGGGCACATCAAGGTATGCCTGTAGTTATTCAAGTTGCTGAATTCTAGACCAGCTATAGCTTCTGAATGCTCTTCAAGAGCAGCTCCATGTAGAGGGCATTGCAGTAGCCCAATCAAGAAACGTCCAAGGCATGAGAGTGACTGTGAGTAAAGTTCCCATTCCAGGAGGGGTCCAGAAGGGGTGAATACTCTGACCAGTCCATTAGTTAAAGAGAAGTTGCATCTCCTTTTTCTCAGGAAGATCTTCATGCAAAGAGAAGGCAAATCTGACCCCATCCAGTGGGTAGAGAATAAGCAGCTACTTGAGTGCTTTTATCTTTCACATCCATTCTTTTTGCTTTTATATGTATCAATGTGTTCGTGAGTTCCTGGCAGGGACTGTCTTCTCCTTCCATATATATATTAGAACAGGGTTTCCGGGTGATTCAGAAGGGTCTTTAACTCACTTGTGGAGGAACCGAAGTCTTGGATTTCATTCTGGATTCATAACTTTGTCTCTGCTAAGCAGTTTGGGTGCTGTGCACACTGAATAGGAACCTAAAGGAAGAGCTTTTGGCCCTTGTTCACATAATGTCTTGATGGAGAGGAGGGAAGTACCAAACTAAGGAATTAGTAGCTCCATCTTCATCTCAGAGTAGCCTGTGTAATCAGTTGCTCTAATCACAGTCTTTTGGATGGGCAGCAAGATTGTGGGTGAGGCAGTGAGGTCCATGAGAATTTTCTGTTTCTGCAATCACTCCTCACTGTCACCCAGGTTCTTCTGTGGGGTGATGGTGACAATAGCATCCTCATTCCCATTTTTTTTGCTTGGTCTTCCTTTGGTTACTCTGTTCATTCCATTCCATGCCTTTCCTTTTGCATCCTCTCCTTCCCTCCCTCCCTCCCTCCCTCCCTTTCACAACATACTTCACTATTTTGTTCAAAGACTATTTTTAAAAATTGTACCCATTCATTCACTTATCCCTCCTGGAAATAATCCACTACTTATTAGCTTCTGCTCTTTTTAACTGTGTTAATATTTGTAATGAAAACACCATTGTGTGGCTTTTCCGGTCAGACCTTTGGTGAGCCCTCGGAGATGGGGCAGGTCAAGAAATAGACAGGGATTCCAGGAGTGCTACTTTATTGTTGTAGAATATAATAAGAGTATCTTGAAAGCCTGTCCAAGTTTCTTTTTGTCCTGTCTTATACTGAGCAAAATCAAGGTTGGGTTATCTTGAGTTTCTTTCTTGCACTTCCTTCTAGCCTGAACTATGTAATCACTTCTCCAATGGCTTGCTTCCCTAAAGTCAGTTCTAAATTCCTTTACACCTTTAGACTTTCCTCCTCTGAAGTCCCAGTTTGTCCCCCCCCCCAATAGATGAGTATATATCAGACAGTGTCACCAGAGAGATTGATGATGATTGAAGTGTATGATCTCAATCAAATCGCACTGACAAAAGATTACTGAAACTGACCACTGTGGACAGAGACATCTGCAGAGGGGTTTTTAAAAAAAGTCAATATGGTGGCTACCACCATGCAAATGAGGCCCACCCTTTTTAATCATGGGTGGCACCTGAGGATGCCTACTCACTGTGGAAGTTGCTTGGCCTGATCAAGACTGTGTAACATGAAAACCCCTTCAGGTTTCATCCCATCTTATTATCTAAAGTTTCTGAAAAGGTTGTCCCATTCTGACGAAAAAGAAGTCATAAATCCATTAGGGTTTGTGTGATTTCCCTTGTTAGATAGGAAAATGTTGGAGCTGTGATTTTCTCAAATGATGCTCTGGAAATAGAAACACATCAGGAAAAGTGTTCCCCACCCCCACCTAGGTAATATAAGATGGGTCAGACTAATTTCTGAGTTTGAGATTTGGCCATCAAGGAGGTCAGGTGATCCTTACACAGTTGTGGGATCAATTTAGCAATAAATAACATGCAAAATAAAGAACTGATTTATTCCCCTTCAGACATTGCACTACTTAAGCGAGATAACTCTGTGGGATGTAGAATAACCTCATTTTCATGGTTACAGCAATTATTAGTGTGTCTACCACAATGTGCATCCAGATGAAGGATGGTGATTTGAGAATTAGCTCTCATTACACTCCATGCAAATAAATTGCAAGTTAAAAGGAAAGTAAAATCTTCCTCAAGATGAATTGAACTCTTGGTCTCCTAAGATAGATAGACAGACAGACAGACAGACAGACAGACAGAGACAGAGACAGTGACAGAGACAGAGACAGAGACAGAGACAGACAGACAGACAGACAGACAAATAGAGACAGACACACAGGTAGATAGAAAGAGAGAGAGAGAGAGAGACAGGCAGACAGGCAGATAGATAGATAGATAGATAGATAGATAGATAGATAGATAGATAGATAGATAGATAGAT